TCCCTCCTCTGCCTTCCTCCTCCTCGAGCGCGCGCGCGAAGCTGGCCTGTGAGCTCAGGCCTGGTCGCGGCTTCTCTCCCCCCAGGGGCTCCAGGAGTTCTGGTGTCGGGGCCTGCGCCCCTGAGCTCCTGAGTCTCGTGGGCTCCCAGCGCGTGGCCAGGCGACATTTTTTGTTATTTGAGAGCAGGGATGAGGAAGCGGGGGGTGGTGTCAAATGGGTGAGGCGAGAGGGAGCAGGGGGGAAGGTGGTCAGGGAGCAATAATATTAATAATAATCGTAATAATAGTAATAATAATAGTAATGATAATAAGTGGAGGCGAACGATGTTGATGATGATGCTGCTGCTGATGATGATGATGCTGATGGTGGTGGTGGTGATGATGCTGCTGATGATGATGACGATGATGATGATCATGATGATCATGCTCATGATGCTGATGCTGATGCAGATGCATATACTTATGCTGCTTCTGACGATACTGATGATAAGGATGACGATTCTGCCGATGATGATGCTGCTGCTGATGATGTTAATGGTGCTGGTGATGGTGATGATGGTGATGATGGTGTGATGGTGATGGTGGTGATGATGATGATGATGGTGATGAAGGGGGTGATAAGGATGTAGATGGTGATGAGGGGGATCATGAGGATGTTGATGATGACGACGATGACGATGACGATGATAATGTTGATGATTCTGATGGTGATGGTAGCAACGTCAATTATGACGAGGCCAGGGCTGCTGCTGCTGCTGATGACGATGCTGAGAGGTACGGCGCTGATGACAACGATTTCATGATGCTGTTATGGATGTCGTTATGATGGTGATGACTATGTTCATGATGATTGCGATGATAGTCCGCATGATGATGCTCATGAAGGGAGTGAGGAGGAGGAGGAGGAGGAGGAGGAGGAGGAGGAGGAAACGCTTGGAGGATGAGGCGGAAGAGGCAGGGAGGCGGCAAGGAGGGGGGAGGAAGATGGAGGGCGAGGGGCGGAGGTGGTGGAGGAGGCAGTCACCGGGAGGCAGGACGAGAGAGGAGGATACAAAAGGTGGGGTGCTCTCGGAGCCCCTTGGCCCCTCCTGTGGCGCCTGCGCGGGCCCGATCCGAGCTCGACTCCCATGGCCGTTCAGTCCCCTGGAGGGCAGGGGGGGCGGGAACAACCATTGGATCGAAGGTCTAGAAGTTTACAGCAGCAATGTTGGCGGTCGCCTCCTGGAAAGGGTCTGCAATGTCTAGGCCATTTCGACACCCGAATCTTACCACCAGCACCGTGGCCGTGGCTTCACTTTCCTTGGTGGAGGCGGCCCGCGGTGTGTCAGTGTCTATACCAGTGTCCACGTCCCCCCAGACGAGGCCTGAGCAGCAGGCCAGCGGTATCCATGAAAGGCTTCTGCTTTTATCGCTTGTTTGGCCCTGGTGGCTCCTCCTGCCCACCCATCCCTGGTCCCATCCCTTCTCCTCTTTCTTCATCCTCCCATCCCTCCTCCCGTCCCATCCTCCACTGCAGTGCTGCAAAGTTGACCTTCGAGCTGCACTCTGGGGCTGAGTTTTGCGTCCCCCACTGCGCTGGCGCGAGGCGACGCTGGAACCTGCACTGGGCGCCCTGCCCCCCCTCCACCCCCACCTACGCCTGGCGAGGATCAATCCGTTCCGGAGCGTTCAGAACGGTCTGAGAGCATCCCGGAACGCGCTGAGAAGGCCGCGGCGCCCGAGACGTCTTCCAGAGCCGCCGGCTCGCAGAGATTCTCGATCTACCCTCACCCGAGTTCATCCTCGCCCTCCTCCTCCGCCCCCTCCGCCTCCGCCTCCTCCTCCTCCGCCTCCTCCTCCTCCGCCCCCTCCGCCTCCTCCTCCTGAACATGGTGGCGGTGGTGGCACCCGGGTGCTCTCTGCCTCCCCTGGTTGTTCCTGGGCCCCCTCGGCCTGCCTGGTGAGCGGCTCGGCGGCCGTGGCCCCCCGCGGCCACACCCCCCCCGCCCAGATGCCCGTGCCCCCGATGGCCGGGTGCCCAGAGGGACAGCGGGCGGAGGCCTCCGCGCTCCCCTCCCGCCCAGGGGGGGGGGTGGGCTCCCTCGGGCGGGGCAACAATATCCGAGGAGCCGCGACAGGAAAAGAGACGGGCTTCTTCGTCTTGAAGCGCAGAATCTTTCGACAGGCTGGGTGTAGCGAGGGTCAAAAAAGCGCGAGGCAAAGCTTCGCCTTTAGAAGTGTAGAGTTCGGACCTTTTTAACGCGAAGCTAATCAGAAGCCAGAGGGCGCACACGGCGCAAGGGCTCCCGTCGGCCCGATAGGCACTGCCGAGGCACGGTGCTCGAGCCCGCACTTGGACGGGGCAGCGGAGGGGGACGTTAGGAGAACGAAAAGTGTCAGATGAGGAAAAGGTACCCATACCGCTACCCTTCCCTCGCTCTCCCCTTTTTGGGCCTCCTGGCAGGCCCTTCCTAGTCGCCACCGCTGGGTTCGCCTCGAGATTCTGGTCAGAACGCACTCTTGGGAGAGGTCCAGGGCGAAGCGCCATGCCGGTACCTTTCGGTTTCCCCACCACAGTGGCGGGGGATAGGGGCACGGGGGGCGGCACCGACCCCCAATCGCCCCTGCATCGCCGATAGGGGCCCGGTGTTCCTCCCCGCCCAACCGATCTGTCGGCGACGCAACTCGCCGACTCCAGGCCGGTGTTCCCCGCCCCCAGCTTGTGCCAGCCCCACCCCCCTATCGTTGCCGCTCACGGCTCATGTCGGACGGGGCTGGGACGAGGATAGATCCGTCCTGGAGACCCGACGTAGCGAACAGCATTGCAACATCGTCAAAAATCACGCCTGGAGCCCTATAGACCGCATCTCTCTGCATCGTGCTTCGAGCCAGGTCGACCTGTGGGGGTCCTGGGGCCCGAGAAAGGGCGATACCGCCCGGCTCGAACAGAATGCGACGCCAGGATCCCATGGGGGTTCTGCTTCCGTGCTTCCGCGGAGCTACGCCCGGTACATACCTGCAGCTTGCGCTGCAGAGTGGAGGGCCACACGCAGCAAGCTGCCTCGTGAGTGTCTCCTGTGACCTTCCTGTCCTCTGCGCGAACGACATGGGCACGGAAAGACTGGGTACAATGCCCAACAGCGGATCCGGTTCATGTCGAACAGGACCCGCTGTCCACGCCGCCGCGGCCCGTGTCCATCCGAGACAGAAGGCCGCCTGCCCAACGGCGGCCGCTGTTGCTTTAGGACAACACTTGTTGTTGTCGGAAGGCACCAACTATACACCAACACCGATCCTGGCCAGGATCGCCCTGGGCCCAGGATCGGTGTATACGCCCTCCTGCCTTGCGCAAGAGGGCATATGCACCGATCCTGGGCCCAGGGTGATCCTGGGCCAGGCTCGGTGTTGGTGTATAGTTGGTGCCCTCCGATGTTGGGCACCGTACCCATTCCTTCCCCTGCCCCTGCCGGGGCGTCCAGCCTGGCCATCGGAGCGTTCTCTGGAGAGCGCCCCCTCGGAGCGTTGGCGGCGCGCGCTCGGGGCGGAGGCCGCCGAGCGCCCGAGAGGCGTCCTGTGCAGAGCCGCCGGCTCTCTCTATCACAGGCTCCTCGAAAAGCGAGGTCGGAGGCCTCGCCGCGCTCCGCCCCCGCCCCAGAGGGGGGGGGGGGAGGGCACCAACTATACACCAACACCGTTGCTGGCCAGGATCGCCCTGGGCCCAGGATCGGTGTATATGCCTTCTTGCGCAAGGCAGGAGGGCGTGTACACCGATCCTGGGCCCAGGGTGATCCTGGCCTGGATCGGTGTTGGTGTATAGTTGGTGCCTTCCTAGGGGGGCAGGAGGGAAAGAAACACACAGAGACAAGGAATCGTCGACTCCCAGGAAAAAAGATGGGAAGCTCTGGGAAGGAGGGGCGAAGACGAGGGCCCAGAAGATGTATGGGAAAAGACACGGGGAATATCCTGGGATGTGTGTGTGTGTGTGGCTTTTCCTGCACCCCGGGCTTCGCCCACTCCGGCCGCCTGAGGCCCCGCCTTCCTGTGCCCTGTCTCCCTAATGAAAGCTGTGCGTAGCCCGCCCCTTTCGTCAGGGGGGCAGGAGCAGAGACCGGCAGCCACGCAGCCACGGCAGCGGCACCACCGTGCGGTGGTCATCTCAGGGGATCGCGGGCCTGGGGCAGGGGGGGCCCGGCGCATGGGGCCGAGCGGAAGTGGGGGGATAGGGGAACAAGGGTGCCCTCGAGAGGGCGCGAAGTTATTCGCGCTTCGAGTTTCGCGGTTCGGCTACGCTTCCTGCTCGTCCTCTTCTCCCCCGGGAGGCGGCGCGAGAGCGCGAAGTTATTCGCACTTCGCGCTTCGCGCAGCGCGAAGCGCGAAGTTGGGAGCCCTTTGGGAAAGGGGGGGATACGAAATCTGCTGCATGCAGCTGGTTTCGGCCCCGCCGCCAGGCCCATTCCTCGATACATGTGCGCCTTCTGGCGCTGGGAGGCGCCGGGAAAATCAGCTACGTGAGCTGACTCTCAAACCCCCCCTTTGCTATCTCCCCCTTTCGCCCGGCCCGATAGTAGCGACGGGTCCCGTTTCCATGGGAGATCGCGGATTTCCGCCGCCGAGCGAGGTGGCACCGGCCGCGTTGCGATGAGCCCCCGCCCCCCGATCCATGGATGGCGAGCTGCAGAATGTCTTCGAATTGGGCTCTTTTTTCTTGAAGATAGCGGCACTTAGCGGTACGAGCGCTTGCGGTCCCGATGGGGCCGGCGGTTTCCTTCACGCGCCCGTGGTTTCACGGAGGTCGGTGACCCCGAGCCCTGATTTACATGCCCGTGGCCCAGATGAGGCTACACGGCCACCAAGTGCCACTAAATGGCAATTCTCGTAACCACTAACGGCCACTAAGTGTCACTAGATGGTAATTTTCGGAACCACTAACGGCCACCAAATGCTACTAAATGGTAGATCTCGGGTTACTAAGTGCCGCTAAATGGCATTTTAATTCTCCGAGCCACTAGCGGCCACTAAGT